TTCAAGGTCAAGGGTGTCAGCAAGCAGCCAAAAATCAGACTTGCTATAGAATCCTAAATATTCTGCAAATTCACATAGCCTTCGGGCTTACCTTGTGGATTAAGCAGAGAGATGACACAATAAAATAAATTTCATCCGCTCTCTCCTGGTACTCTCAGAGTCTACCTTTGTTCTTAGAGAAAAATCTACTTCTCCTTTTATGTGTGTAACAGATACCTCCTCTTAAATATCTCTCCTGGGTGCCAGTGTCTCTACTAGGTAAGAGACATTTACATGCATAAGGGAAATCTCCATCTGTAAGGGTGTCTTCCACTCCACACCAGGAAGAGGACGACTAAATCTCCAGAAACTCATATGAATGGAGAAAGCATGGATTTAAATCTGCATAACAATCATGCTCTTGTTTACTGTGTTTTTCTGGGTAACCCCCCCATTACCGGCTTCCCACTCCCAACATCTGTCTTTAGCTGGAGAAGTTATTTAATATGATGGCTTGGGCCATTTGGGGGAGTTACTCAGTTTTCCTGGGTCTCTCCCATGTATACAGGAAGCATACATGTTCTGAAGCTTTCTTTGCTTTTGTCCTGTTAATCTTTTATTACAGGGAGGCCTCAGCCAAGAACCTAGAAGGGAGGAGTAAAAGTTATTTTTCCTCCTCCACACCTATGAAACAGATTTTAGCAGCAAATACACCCCAGAGGAGGCTCCTGGCTTCCAAATTATTTACTTTTTCAGCCAGAAGGGCCAGAATGACCATTACCCACTGTAAGTCATTGTTATTTGCTCAAGTTTAAGTGATTTCCCCAGGCTTCCTGGTGTCTGCCACCTGGTGATTCTATTACCCTAGCCTTTTTCTTTAATAGGAATTCTCACCATCATCACAAATGCTGGCTCTTAAGGCTATTTTTCTCCAACAAACTGATTGCTGGCCATAAAGATGTTCAGTAGCAATTAGGTTTTATTGTTCCCATCTCACTTATGAGTATAGAAGCTATCAAAATGCAAAATGCACAGATCGTCAGACTTAGTAATTCTCCTTCTAGGAACTCATCCCATAGAAGTGTGCATGTGTGGTGCAAGGACGTATGTACATGGATCCTAATTTGCAATATGATTTAGGGTAGCAAAATAATGGACACAACCTAAATATTCATCAATATGAGACTGGTTAAATAAAAGACGCATATACCAGGGCAAGCATGTGGAAGTTCCCTGTGCACTGATGTGGAGTGATCAGTACAAAAAGCAAGGGGGAACAGTGGCTCAGGCATGCTAGCCAATGGCTTTGTTGAAAAGGAAGCACATAACCGTATACGTGTGTGGGTATATGGGGATATGCACTCACACACACACTCACACACGCGCGCGCGGTGCAAAGAATAGTCGACAAAGACTTAACCTTGCCAAAGCTATGTAATAGTGGCACCTACTGGTAAGATCACTTCCTGTCCCAAAGTATTACCTTAGGAAAGAAAACCCATGATTTGCCTGCACAGCCATTTCAGCCATTAGTCAGGAAATATGTTTGTAATAAAGCTTCATAAGGAACTCTTCGCTAGTATTAGGTCTTCTGAGCATAAGACTTAAAAGTACCATCTGGCTGGGAAGTTATGGTTCATTATGGTCTGAATTGCAAGCTATAAAAAGGAGTGAAAAATATCTCTATATCCTTCCGTGGAGTGATCTCTGGCATATAGCGTTAAGTGAAAAACGCAAGATACAAAAAATTGGGCAGAGTATGCTATCATTGATCCAAGAAGGAGAGGGGGTTACAAGTAGACATATAGGTTTGCTTGTATTTTGTAAATGGAAAGAAAACATGTTTAAAAAAAATTAATGACTACCATAAAGGAAGGGAAGGAATGGGATGGAGGAGAGAGGAACAGAAGTGGATTTCTCAAAATCAGTGGTTCTCAATGGGGGCTATTTTGCCCGTGTCCCCAGGAGATGTTTGGCAAGGTCTGGAGGAATTTTTAGTGTCTCAGTTGGGGGTTGGGAGGAGTGTAGTACTGACATCTAGTGGGTACAGGCCCTGAATGCTCCTGAACATCCTACAGTGCACAGGACAGCGCCCCCCCCCCCCCCCCCCCCCCCCCCCCCC